ATCTAATTAATTTCAATTTTATTGTTTTTTAAGAAAATGCATATCCTATTGTTTAAGAAGCCGTGAGTTTGTTCTTAATTTCAGTAACTGAACTGTACTCTTGTTTTAAATACACCTTAAATATCTGTTGTTTGTGAGAAATGTACATGCACAGATTATAATATAATCTTTTACGCACTCAGCTGTCGTAAATAAATACTGGCTGAAAATACAAACTACAAATTAATATAAATTTTTTTACATAGGTACATAGTTTTAATACTATATACACGAGAGTTGTATATGGAAAACACCGATAACTTTTTTTTCATACCACGACTAGTTGAATTATATAAATTGCGTTATCGAAATTATTTCATTTCAACTTTTACATTGCTGCAACGATTATAAAACGGTTATTGTCTTTATGACTTTATCTATAATTATCTAGGTTATACACCTGCAATTGTATACATATTATAGTCTATAGCATTTTAGGTGTGTTCATTTTTTCCCGTGCGAATTCGAATGATACATCTAGTGTAGTATAGAATAAATATATTGATATGTGAGGAGATATACAATTTAGTTACAGCGAGGGTGCAGTGGGGGTGAAGCCCCACCACATGTTTGCCATGAATATTAAATATTAATTTCCCCATGAAACATTTTCGATTAAGCCACTGGTGCTACCAAGCACCAATGTATGTTACTGTGAAAATACTACCTATAATTTATAAATTGTTTCTGTTTATGAGGCCCATTCCACAGCGGCACAACCGTTCAGTTTTTCGATTCACTTACATTGTTTAAATTCGTACCTACGCTCGGCTATGAAACGGACTTTATTACCAATAAGTTTTCAGTAATAAGTATTTAGTATGCTGTTATACATTTCACAGCATGTCAGCATATATACAATATACTAATTAGGTACTATTGTACGATTACCTATATTAAGTAAAGTAAACTATTTAGTATAATTTAATCTAAGTAATAAGTGTACATTTATACGATACAGATATTGGGTTAGTGTAAGTCTATTGTTTTTGTTGCATGTATTGTATGTTGGAAAATCAACATCAATAATATTGGCTAGAATTGATTACTATGAGCACTTTGATAATAACTAAAACTTAGTACTTATCACTTATGGTATAAACAGGGATGCATTTGTAAAAAAAATTCCGTTTTATGTTATTTACAATTAAAACGTTATCCAACTTTTGAATTTATCGTTATTCAGAATTAAAACGTTATCCAAGTTTTGTGTTCATCGTTATACAGAACTAAAACGTTATACAAGTTTTATTTTATTTTATTTAAAATAGTGTTAATACCTACCTTTTAAATTTAAAAATAATAACTAATGCGGCCTGGATACGAAATATAATATAATCAATTCTTAGGTTCTTAGATTGTTTGCATGAAATAAATGTTTCTACGAAACCAATAGACCTTTTAAATAAGTCAATTCTAAAATATTTCGTTTCGCGTTATTTTTCGGTCAATGAGATGTATTATATTTTGTTAATAGTTATGTTTTGTTTTACGGTATTCAATTATTTTTGATTATCGTTTTCCGTTATAATTACGTTTATTGTTTATAAATTTCAATCTATTTTTGTCAAATATAACGTTATTATAACGTTTGCAAGCCCGGGGGCCTGGTTTTTTGGTTTTGCCTTACTCTATCTTTATAATACATAACGTAATACTACAACACTACCTTTTTTTTTTGTGGAGGAAAATGGACATTGGAGGAAAACGGTATCTCGTTTTTGGAGGAAAATGGAACCGCCCGTTATAACACTCATTATGAATGTTATTTTATTTTTACAATTTGATGGTTTACTTGTCATACCTCCCTGTTACCACCGTATACTTGGATATTGTTCCCGTGCCTTAAATGGGAAGTATCCGTCTTGTGTGCTTTTAAGGTCCTATGACAGGACCTCCTTTAGAAATATGCTGGACGCCCACTGACCCATTGCCCCTGCACTGTCGTATATGTACAACAGCCAAGAGCGTCGTTATAAAAAATAAGACACATTATAATATTAAAAAGTTTTTTAGAATGTCTTAAGACATCCAAATATTATTTTTAAAATAAACCTACTGTCAAAGTTATCCAGCTTGTAAAAAACGCACAACCTATTTGATTTAACTTATTTTATTTACGTTTTAATTAATTATTTACATATATTTTTAATTACTTCATACGCGCCGAGTTCGTAATTTGCGTATAATTGTTTATTTTATTATTCAAAAATACATCGTTTATTTTTAGATGACTTTTATGAACAAAAGAAGTAAACGACTTTTTTTCTGTAAAAAACCACTTATTTATGCATAATTATATACGTGTAACGCGGACATTCATATCGGTGACTGGCGAGAGTGCATAAATAATATATATTTGTATTATTCTATACAATTATTTTTCCATATTAATTATCTAGAAATCAATTAAGGAAGAAAGTATTTTTGTTTTAATTATGTTTTTTTGCTGTGCTTTTCGAATGTTCGCATACAGTAAGATCGACGTAGTTTCCCGACGCTGGAGCATACACCTGTGAATCTAAGGAACATGGATTTTCCAAACTTAGCCCACACACTTGTAGCGATTTTCCCTGTGCTTTGTTGATGGACATTGCAAAATATGTGAGTCGCGTCGGAAACTGCAAACGTTTGAATTTGAATGGCATATCAGGCCTAATCATTAAGATGCGGAGCAATAGCCTACCTACATTTCTCCTTTAAATTTAAATAACATATATGTGTGCTAATTCAATACCATAAGTATTAAGTAGGTACTATAAATGTCCAGTTAATATTAAATTATTTTTCAGTAATTGGCATGAATACATTTTTCAAATTTAGATAACTGAGTGTCTACGTCAACAATCACCATAGTTTAAACTAAAGTCTGAAATATTTCCAACTGTTTATATCAATCTTCAACATTGTAGTATTTGATATTTTGATGCAAAGTATGAGTATGGATAAAATAAAATACCTAACTTAAAAATAACTTTCTCCCGAGCTTTCTTCATATTTTTCATGTAATATGCAATATATTATAAATATTTTATACCTACCTAATAATACTAAGTTAGTACCTAGGTACCTACTTAAATATAAACTACAAATCCTAAAACTGCCACATTTTTAAAGTAGGTAATATAATTTTTTTATTAAAAGCAAAAGGCTATATTGTGTGTATAAAATATAATCTATTCTAAACTTCTTAAGTAACAACGAATAATATTTTTAAATAACAACACATAACTAAAACCATCCTTCTTCGTTAAAGTATATCAGTTTTTCCAAACATGAATTTTTATTTAATTATTATTATAATTACGTTAATATTGTTAAGTTTTGTAGTTTTTATGAATTTATGAATGATTTTTAAATTTTAATGAATAGTTTTGCCCATCATTCTTATATTGTATGTTGTCTATCTTAAAATATGGCAATGTAGCAAATTTGTGTTCATCAGTTCCAATTTTTTGTTGTAACCTCTAATACTAGAGTGAATTGACCAATCGTTAAATTTAAAGTTAAGAACATTATCTGTGTTCTCTTGTGAGTTTTATACTATATTTCAATTTTTAATTAAGTTATAAGAGTTTTTAAATTGTAATATTTTACATTTTTACATACCTACTCATTAGGTAAGTCATAATTCATAACTCATTTAAAAATCAAAATATCGCATAAAAACCAACGAGAGAACACAGATAATGTTCGTACTTTTAAGTTTGATCATAGGTCAATTCACTCTAAAACTGAAGCCAACATCACAAAATTTGAACGACTGAGCGTAAGATGTTATGGCGTTAGAAATACAGAGACATGGACACACGTATATTATTATAGGCTGCTATGACGTCCAAACATCAATAAAACCTAACAAGTTACATAACAACTAGCGAGTTTCAATGATAATTTCGCCCAACAATGTTATTGACAATGGTGCAGCGTAATAGTACAGTACATGTGTTCAACCATGACTAATTAAATTAATTACATTTTTAATTTATTTATTTAGTCATGACGTGTTGAACATTGATACAACAGTTGGAGGCAACGGAACAAAGGATGACCTGTTCCGGCTGATTCAATGCAGAATTATAAAACAAAAATTTTTTTATAAAATTCACCCCCACCACTACTTGTTGTAGTATAAATTGTAGTCTACATTCTAAAACATTCTACCTCCTTCCACGTGGCTCGGCTTACCTCCAAGGCCCCGCAAACATGGTAGCCACATAACCACAATATATCGTGTCACCACCGGTATCAGCGGTAACCGGTAAGCAGGTCAATATTATGGTCAACAACCAATGATTTGGCGTATGCGGCCACGCAGTGGTACGCGCGATCGGCCGCCGCCGTAATTCCTCGGCCGAAGTCTGAGATACTAGCATCGTTATTTTGTTATCGCGTGGTGATGCGCACTGGTGCTTACCACCTGGGTCCCCGGCGCCCGTCCGCTCATTGCCAAACGTTAGATTATTAAATTGTTCCGATTTGCTATGACATCGGTCATTCAACGCTGTTGATGACCGTCTGTCCCGAGAAATAAAAAATCAAAATCCGTTTATGACGACAACGCCCGATCTTTTAACTTGCATTTTTTGCGTGTTTTCCTCGCCGCGCCCGGTCACGCACAACAGCGTCGGTCGCAGTGTCCGTTCGCCGCCGCCGCCGCCGTCAAACATTTCGATTTTTCGTCCGCGTCGTAGTTTTTCGACGTAGGTCGAAAGAAATTATTTCCAAACACCCGTCAAACGATTCGGTACAATTGTTCGCGTCGTGTTTTCCGTTTTGTTTTGTTTTGTTTTTTTTTTCCTTATCACCACACTCGGTTTTTTACTGTTGCTGCTGCACATCTTATCGCTGTAAACGCTAGGTAATAATATTTTTACTTTGTTCTTCATACAACCTGTAAGTCCGTCATTAAATAATAATTGTGCTATATTTTCCCGACAGTTGAACGTTATATTCTCAAAATGGACAGTACTGCCGTCAACGTGAAAGAAGAAGAAACTGTCGCCAAAGGTGATGTTGCCACAATTGCTGCTACCAATGCGGCGAATTCGATAGCAGTGACTGATGAAATTGTTCCACCCATTAAGTTAGACAAAGAAATTATTATGACCACCGATAATGTTGAACATGTGGTGGTCAGTGAACAAGCCGATGTGTCAAATGAAGCTGCAATTACCGTTAACACCACTAGTAACAAAGAAGATCAATTAAATATAGCCATGGCGTCTACAACAATATCGACTAATGAGGTAGATGAGACTAAACACAATCTAGGTGATACAGTTTCGGACAAGCAACAGAAACCTGCGATAGCTACAGTTGAAAAGGATATTGTAATCGATGAAACCTCTAATATAAATCTAGATATCTCTTTAAAAACAAAATCAGAGTCCGATGAAATATATAACTCAACAATGGGTAGTGTGTTTGAAGATGCTGTTGAATATATTATCAATGATGAAGAAGATAATGTAAATGAACAGCCTCAAGATGTAATTCAAGAAGAAAATGTTCTAGATGATGAGAGTAGTTCGCAACAAGAAATAGAGGGAGGTGATGGTGAAGAAGACTATGATGATGAAGAAACTAAAGATGTGAGCAATAATTCAAATTAATATTCTGTACCTATTTAGTTTATTTTGCTTTTTATAGTAGTATGAGTTGTGCATCATTATATACCTAATTATGTATCCATTAAATGTTATTTTAAAAAATAGGTATTCAAAAACTTAATGCATACTAACGCTCTACCTCTAGATATAAATATTTGAAAATAATAGATAAGTATTTAAAAATAATTTCCAAATATTTGAGTTAGGATATTTTGAGAATTTTAAATCTGTAAACTCTATTTAGACTTTACTTATTCTGTAGGTTATTACTCTTTACATAATTTTACATTATATACACCTCAGTAGCCAGTATACACCATAGCTGTTAATTATTACCTAATAGTCACTCAAAAATATTATTTGATACATTCTTTTTAAAAAAAAAAAATCCATTTACCTATACTCTGTATCAAATAAGAGCGGACCGCGTTTGCGCATCCAAATGAATCGCAGAGTCATGTCCGGACCCCCTGGCCGGATCTATTTGCTCTGTCATTGGTCGCCGTATTCGCCGCCGACACTCTACGCTGCGGTAGTGCTCTCTGACTTGCTCGAGTTTCGACCGGTTTTCGTGCGCCGCCCGGTGCTCTGTTATTTGGTACAGACTGTAGGTACATTATGTACCTACAGTCCTCATATTTACATAACTATATATTTTACCCAATTGTTTTATTTATATAATTAGGTATTTTTATTGCCTTCCTAGTTTAACCTTCACTAAATTAAGATAAAATATTCCTTAAAACTTAAATTTTATTCGTGTTAAAAAAAAAAATACATTTTAACACCATAATTATTTAACTATATGTACTCTGTCCAACAAGTGAATATACACTGATTCTGCTCATCGGCCTACTATCGAAACCATTTCCTCTATGGCAGAATGTTGAATGGGGATGCCTAGAAAAACCGATGTTGGTCAGATCTCAATGCTTTCTCTCGCTGGACAGAGTATAGTTTTAAATAGGTATAATTTTTTATCTGGCTGTTATTCCATTTTAGCCTGCAGCACCTGCAGAACCCGTAGTACCTGTACCTGTGGACGATGATACTAATGATCCACAATACATACCTAGGCGTGGACGGTTCTACGAGCATGATGACCGCATGGCATATAGTACAACAAGCTCTGAAGGGTCAGAATCAGATAATGGATATGAAGAAGATTCAGGAGATGACGATGAAGTTTCTGAGTGAGTAGTGACTAAGAAATTTAATTTTAAGTATGTATAATATTAAATTTTATTTTTCATAATTATTAGTCGTCGCCGAGTTAGAAGACGACATACCGGTATTAAAAAACAAAAGTCAGTGACCCCAGTAGATACTGCTGAAAACACTGCTTTGGCAGTTGAGGATGGATCACTGCCTACTAAAAGAGTTTTGGCCATATCTAAGGTTGCTGCTACAACAAAAGACTCTGAAACTGCTGTAACTGCTGATGGATTGGCAAAAAAATTCGGTGTAGGTTCTAGAAAATCTCGTGATTTAGATGCTCTTGATAGATGGACACATGATATGTATGATGAAAGCGAGCAAACTCGCAAAAGTCGTGATGAGTTACTGGCCTCTTATGGATATGACATACGTGAGGAATCGGAGGCACCTCGAGCTCGACGCCACCATAAATATGGGTAAGTTAATAATAGAAACTATTTATATATAGTCTGAAAATACTAATAATTACAATTGCTTTCATATTAGGCGAGCTGCCACTACCAAATATACTCGTAGTTGGCAGGATACAAAAGCTTACACTGGTGCTGCTGGAGGCCAACAGTCTATGAAAGTTAAGCGTGGAGGTATGGCTCGACGCAATGTTGGTGGTCTAAATAAGAACATAAACAAATCTACAACTGATGAGTATACCTCTGAATTCCCTGCATTGGATGATACAAAAAAATCAGAGCCTAATACTTCAACTCTTCCTTCAACTGAGTCTTCAGTTGCAGAAGGCTCAGACCAGAATTATGAACAACAACTGAAATCTCTTTCTGTTCAGAATGAAGATAAAAAATCTGTGGCTGCAGTTGCGGAAACTAGCCAGGCTCGGCATCACACCTCGTCCCGAGCAACTCCGAAATATAATACAACTTCTCCTACAAATCGAAACAATCGCCAGGACCAGCAAAATGGTGGACCTTCACCTTTATCGTCATCAACTAATAATAAAAACTATTACAATCGGCCTTCAACTGAGTCTCCAATTAGCAAAGAAAAAGGTGCTCAAGTAAATCGAGACTCTCCTTCCTCAGCAGCTAACTCAAACTTCTTTAACCGAAGACCACAACCAAACAGTGGTGGCCATACTCAACATCATAATTATAAACAGCAACACTACAACAGCAGTCCACATAACCAGCAACACCAAAATTCTTCACCTTCAGGACCTCGTGGCCGTAACTTCCATCAACACCATACTTCGCAACAGTATAATCGTGATAGATATTTTTCTAAGGGATCAATACCTTCATCTTCATCCAGTTCAAATCAACACAATTACGATCAGCAGCATCATTCTGGAGCGCCTACTACTGCTGGCACAGGACGTACACAACATGGTGGCGGACATTATCAACACTACAATAATCGTCAATGTAAGTATTCTATCATAAAATCTGTTATCATTTTCAATTCTTCCTGATATTCTTCTATTACAATTTATAATATCCATTCAATTCTTTTTATGCTAATGCAATATGATAATATGACTTATTATCAAGTATTATAATTCTGTGTGTCCTAATACATCTATGCACAAATTCATTAATTACCAATAGTTATTTTCCTGAATCTAACCTCCTCAATGCAAACTTTTTTAAATTAATACGTTTTCTATAAAAGTACAGAATTGTACTAATATTTTATTAATTAATAATAACTCAAAATATATATACTCTAGATGAAAACGAAAATCAACCAATTGATCCGCCTGCACCACCAACACCGGTTGTGCGTAGCTCAAAACGGTACTCAGTTCAAAGCCGCAGAGAGCTTCCAGACCCAGTACTAAATTTTGGTGGAATATCTAAGACACCTCAGCCACATCCTCCAGCTCCTCAGCAACAAAATGGGTTAGTTATGCAAGATCAACAAATTCAATCTCAACAACAAATGCAACCCGCTCCTCAGCAATTACAACAGCAACAACCAATCCAAATTCATCAACAACCACCGCCATTGATACCACAGTACCATCAACCCTTACAACAAATACATCACGGCATGGTGCTTGATCACAACACTGGTATGATGGTTATGGCTGCTGCTGATCCAACTATGTACCATCATCAAATGTATGCTACACCCCAGTATGCTACTGGAGTTGCACCGGGTCCAACAGCTGGAAGTGCTGATGAACAGAATGCAGCAGCAGCAGCTGCTGCAGCTGCTCTTCAGATGCTTGCAGCTCAGGCAGCTGTTTACCAACCAGTACCAACAGGTGCTACAGGTGTAACATCACCACCATCTGGAACACAATCCTTGCAACAACCAGTAAGCTTATTATTTTAATCATTAATAAATTTAAATATTTTGTATACACTATTTTTATTTTTAATGTTGAGTCTTATTTCATTCATTTTATTTTCTCTTTAATACAAAATATATAGATTTATGTACACAAATTAATAATGTAATACATTTTTCATAATCTTACTAGTCATTATTATATGCTTTAATTATTTAACTATAAAAAAGTACCTTTATCATATTTATAAAGTTTACTTTTCCTCAACGCCAATATATTACCATTATATTATTAAATTTATGAACATTTTTGTCAATATCATTTAACTATTACAAAAATGAAATTGTTTTCATATTTATTTATTTTTTCTAGGAAACCTTCATGACTACTTACTATCAACCACAGCAACAGCCCCAACAACAACCTCCTCCAAGACGTGTTAATTTGGCTATACCCATAGTGGCACCGCCTCCAGAACCCAATCAACAGCAAGGGAATTTGAAAACCAACTTATCCACTACACCACCTCCTACTACAGCTTCAACCAATTGAGACAGCTTCCATAACTAACTCATAACTACTACACAATATTGAAATTTTTTCTTCTTTTTTTAACATTTCTTAGTTTTATACAATCTTTATGTGGCTAATAATTGGTTTATATTTTTTACCATTATTTTAGATAATGGTGTCAACTTATTCTGTGTTTAATTTTGTTTTTAAATATTCGTTTATTATTATTTTATACTTCGTTCAAGAAACGAATCCAATTATATAATTAATTTTTTAGAATGCATGACTACAGTATTACACTGTATAAAATACTTAGGTGTCTTTTTGATCTTAGTTTAATAGTCATTTTATTATTTGTTTATCAATATCATTGTATCATTATCAATAATCAATTAAAATATAAACAAACCATCGAAGCTAATACAATTTTTTTTTGTATTGATTACTTACATTTTATTGTATTTTAAATAAAATAAAAACTTATCATCACATAATTACAATAACAAATATTATTTATGCATTTATTCCGTAAGGTACATTTTCTTTTTCTTATGAACCAGTATTTTAAGGTATAAGCTAATTGAAAGCTATATTTAGGTTTTTTTACGATTATGAAATATTATATAATATTATAAATTTATCCAACAACGATCAACGGTTATCAGTGGTAATTAGACAAAAGAACCAAAATAAAATAATAAAATAAACGTTCTAATTCTTTCTAAACTTCTAATTTTAGCTAACTTAGTTATAGAGATAATATAATTAACAATCTGACTTCTTGTTTTTTTTATTTTGTCACAATGGTCAAGATATTAAACTGTATCAATAATTTATTATAACATAACATTCAAATGTTTTGTATTGCATGTTGAGATTTAAGCTAAACCCAATTCCCGTGTATAGGAATGGGATAACTTTCTATATAGATTGAATGTCTAATTTTTATATTGTATTAACCCTGACTAACTTGTGTGAGTATAGTTATGATCTCTTGACCATTATCCCAAAATGTTTTAATATTTGTATTCTTATCTTATTTTTTTTTTTTGTATCCTAGATTTGAGTAAATTACTGTCATTGTATTAAAGTAAAACAAAAACTGAAATTATTTGACTGTTCTGCTTTTGTACATTTTATTCTAATGCATATTGAGTAGATCTCATAATGTTGTAAGGAAAGTTCATAAAGTAATTTTGGTTTACACAAAATACATTAAATGATAGACTTGAGAAAATTATTTATTACACATTATCAGTATTATAACTTTTTAAGGTATTCTAAATAGATATGACTGTTTGTGCAACTATAATAAACTTTTCAATTTTAGGACATAGGTACTAACCGACTTAGGGGGCAGTATTCCAAATTTTCAAATACAGCATTTGGAATACATTTAGAATACTGTTTCCCCAAAAGTATTTAATGCTGTATTCTGAATAGTATTGCAAGTACATATTTCAAATACTTTTATAATATTAAGAGCTAAGACTTTTTGAGTAACTTTATTTTAATGGTTTTAGACAAATAAGTGGAATATTTGTTTATGTACTTCCCAGTGTTCAATTACTGTTATGTATATATGAGTTTATTAGATTCTTTTCTAAAATTATGTAAAAACATTTTAACTTTTTTTAACAATCCTTAAAATTAAAATTATTTTTTAAAAAATTATTCAAAAGATGAAAATATAATATTTTTCAGTTGTATTACATTATACTTGTTGATCTTGCAAGTTGCTGCACATGAACAATTAAATGCCACTAAGCTCCGCAGATTTTAAATACATTTATTTGGTTGTTTTGACCAAATATAATATAGTTACATGTCTAAGACTGAGTAAAATGATATACATTATACGATCATTATAATAATTAATGTTTAATATGTAACTATTTTATTTTCTGTAATCAACGGCAACTAAATAAATTTAAAAAAATATTATTTGTCGTGCTTGAACCACTTAAGAATTATGTGTTGAAAAGTAAAAAGTAGCTTATGACACTACAGAATATGGATCTTGTTGATTCAAATGACAAAAATTTTATGAAAATCGGTCGAAACTGTGGAATTGCATAAGTGTCATCCGTTTTAGGTATTTGATTATTTAGGTAGTAATTAATGTAGTAGGTATACTGGTAGTAGTATGGACACTGGACAGTGTAGTACTGTCTCATGAAAGAAAGGTGTAGACCATAGGAGTGGATTACAACCACAGACCTATAAAGAAATTGACTTATAACGGAGGGAGGTCCAGGAGTCAACATTGTTAGAAAAAGATAGCATACAACAATCACTTATACCTAGGGTTGCCACCTTTGAAAGAAAGCTGCCCCGGAGACGGGCCGATAAGCAAAAAAAAAAAAAAAAGGTCGTTTAGTCATAAATGTGGTCATTAATGAATTACTTTTCAAATTCTGTGTAGTTTTATAATATCGATGCACGGTTACACTGACGCAAAAATTAAAAGCAGATATTCGGATTCGTAAAATCGTAATCGTAGACTCATAAAGTCATAAACCGTAGTTCATAATCTTATTATTCTTGTTATCTTGAATAAATGGTTTTATACCGGAAACTAATTTTAAAAAAAGAGGCATAATAATAAAAAAACGTATGTTATCTTATCTTTATCTCCGACCCGGAGAATAATTCACTGAACCCGGAGCCCGTAGATTTATACGTAAACCCGGATTCTCCGGGTGAAACCCGGAGAGGTGGCAACCCTACTTAAACCCATTATAGCAAGAGAGAGAGAGGAATAGTTCAACAACAAAGACAACAAAATTTTTTAGAAAAAGATAGCATATACCTTAGACAGCTAAGTTCTCTTATACTACAGGGGTATTGACTAGGTATCTCTTTCTAACAATGTTGGCACTTGGCAACCTATAGGTAGTATGTCATCTGTCCATATTATATTAATAAGCATACGAATCGCCAGCCGAGCCCATCGCTCACCGACAGTGAAAGACCGGTCCAGGTCGCGGTCACTCGGTACCACGACCGTCGTCGTTACTGTGTCTTGCGTGGGGATGCGCAACATTGATCGGTTTTCGTTGTCAAGAGTCAAGACATTTCGGTCGGTACATTTCTTTTGTGAAACAGGGACGTCACGGCACTACACTGGCACAGATATCCATTATCCATATATTTATTTATTATGGCTGATCCTCACTACAGAATGCTATAGCACACTATATAGAAATCTGTGATCCTGGGCCCTGGCAGATCACGATCCACGGCGTTGCCAGTGTCAAATTAGATGATGCTCGTGAATTTACTATAGTGAGTTTAAAATGTAAATTAGTAACTACATATAATGTTTGAGGTTAATTAATGATGGTGACATATACTTCGAGTGCACAGCACTATAAAAAAAATAATAATAAATAATAGTAATAATATTTTTTTTATAGTTTTTGTATAGTGCATACGCACACATATGAATTATGATCATTGAGCACTCGGTTTTATGCCTTCGGCTAGACATAATGTAGTCTGTGGTAATACCTAATTATAATAATAAATGAGTGATTGGTATAATATAATTCATACTAGTATTAGTAGTATTTGTATTTTATTTATTATGAACAGCCTATCGTAAACATAACACTACACATATTTTAAACTCATTAATTTGAGTGGACTGGTGGTACCTATTGACTATTAACTAAAATATAAAACACAGGCTACTAACTTATTTCTCATTACGATACGTACTAGGTAAATAGATGACTATTTTATTTTCTGTAACCAATGGGTAATGGCAACCCTACACAAACAAAAAACTACAAGCTTTTCGTAAGTAAACAAATCCCTCTGAGAATCTCTACAAAAAATATACAATTTAAAAATTTGTTTTCAAAATTCAAGTTGCACATCCTCTATATAGTATAGGATTACCTATGTACCTAATTTCAGAACCATAAGTATGATAGTCGATAGACTTGGTTATATCCTTGTGGATAGCTCTCACACACACAAACATAATTGACATCTGTTAATATAGATTAAGTTTTAAACGTAAACTATTATGTCTACCAGGGGTTGCATTTGAAAAAAAAATTCCGTTTTATTTTATATAGGTACAATTCAAACGTTATAACGTAGTTATAACCTATAGGTACACAATTTTCGAGTTTATCGTTATTTAGAATTAAAACATACAAGTTTTGAGTTTATAGTTATTTAGAATAGTGTTAATACCTATTAAATTTACCTATTAAATGTATTAATAATGACTAATGCGAGAAGGTAGGTAATGGCCCGGATACGGAATATAATATTATAATCAATTCTAATGTCCTTGTGCATGAAATAAATATTTCAACGAAACCAATTTAATACATTTAAATAAATGGATTTTAAATTATATCGTTTTGCGTTTTTTTTCGTTCAATGAAATTCTATAAAATTACGTTTTGCGATATTTTTCTTTTAATGATATTCTATAAATTACGTTTTTTTAAATGATAATATAATATTTTGTTAATCGTTTGTTTTGTTTTGAGGTATATTTTTGATAATCGCTTTCCGTTATAATTACGTTTATAAATTGCAATCGTTTTTTGTCAAATAAAACGTTATAACTAAAGACATTTTAATGAGCATTTGAAATATTTTAGAATTTTAAGTGATTTTTGCTCTCCAACACTAACACACGCATTACCATTCCACCTATTACAAATTGCCCATAGGTGTTCCGAATTGTATGCTCTAAATGCTCTAATAGTCTTAAAATTATCTATATTTTTACTTAAATATTTTATACAATTTATTATTTATTGTAATTTTATAAATGATACATTTTCTGCTATACTATGTCGCCAACCTCCTCCGAAACGGCTTAACCGATTTTCATGAAATTGAGTGTGTATATTCAGTGGTACCGCGAAAAAATAACCCCGGAAAAAATATCCCCGGAATTTTAGACCCCGAAAAAAAGAACCTCGAAAAAATAACCCCGTGAAAAAATAACCCCGTGAAAAAATAACCCCGTGAAAAAATAACCACGGGAAAAAACCCCATATGAGATT